GCTTATGTAACCGAACTAAACACACTCACACTAACTCTGACTCCTGCCCGTACACCGTCATCAGAAGAGTCCACCATGTTCATTGTGACAAAAGGTGTATTGTTGAGCTCAGCGCAGCCCGTGTATAAATACCGTTATGGCTCTTGACTCTCTGCAGGGCTTCCTGTTTCAGTTGTGCTGCGTGGCTTGACCATTTCCTCTGCCTGCGTTTAGGACTAGAAAGAATGTGGCTGACACTTGGCAAAGTTTTCTCACCGTCAGTTTATAAAGCTTCTGCAGCGTGCAGGGATCCAACAGGCCGTGCTACAAGTTCCTTTCTTTCTTTGAGAGCAACTTTAGTTTGTTGTTTGCAGCTTGAGCAGGCCTGGATGAGGTCAGAAGAGCTGGAAGCATTCATTTACTGCAGAAAATTCCCAGTCTGTAAAAGGAGCTGTAAAAGCCTGTTTTTCAACACGCAGTTGATGCACGGCCTGAGGCCTACACGTTTTCTGTGCATATAATATGGAAAGTTTTCCAGAGGATTGAGTTACAGTTATAGAGGTCAAGCAATCAAAATTGCTTTGATCTTTTAACATTTGTATACATACTGTATAAACTCATAGCAAAGTTATTTTTTCTTCTTTACTCATAGAAACATCTCGATTCTGTAAGCCTATTATCCTATTTTGTTTACGTTTAGTGAATAGACTGCTGTCCAAAAATTTTACTAAAGTTGACAAATTATGCAACTGTGTCAGGAGTGCAAATGAAAACATGCAAAAGTCAAACAGAATTTCATACATTTCATGTAATGGCAGTCACAAAATGAATCCTATGTAGTGGTCGACCGATATATCGGCCGATATTTGGCATTTTTTAAATATCAGCATCGGCCGATAAGTTTTTCTGTTTGGCCGATGTGTTCGTGACGGCGCTGAGAGTGGCTCACAGTACACACATTCGCCCTCTTGTTCGCTGTCGTCGTTAACAGTTCTGTCTAATACGGACCGAAATCTGTCTAATAATCAGAACGGTTAAACAAAGGAATTAAAATGTATACAAAGTATTATAACGATTGCTTTTATATTATTAGTAATAGAAAGGCAAACATTATAATACTTTCTTGTTTGCCGTCAGCATTCAGCAAATACGACAGACTATATATATCGCACACCTCTAGTGTTACCTTAGCGTTATTTTTTAAAATATGATTCCCAATGCACACAAAATTCCCAGAATAATGAGTGCCCTGTTGGTTACAGCGTTTACTTCTTTTTTTTATTTTTTTAATATATTTATTAAATTTATTTATTTGTGAAAAAATACTTTGTCATCTAAAGTATAAGTATGTTTATTTTTTAATCCATCTTCAAATTATTTTTAAATTTCTTAAATATTAATTAAAATAAATAAAATGATATCGGCCATTGGCCACCCTGCTTTCCAAGATATCGGCATCGGCTGTCAAAAAAACTATATCGGTCGACCACTAATCCTATGTGTCACACTTGGCTAAACTGTTTATGAAAAGCCAGTGAAAAACATTCAGCAGCACTTTTTTAGTCTTCAAACGTGTTAACCAGCTTCTGAGAAATATTGATATGGTCTTCATTATTTACACCAGAGTTTGTCCTGAAAGATTTACCCTCCATCATTGCTCTCCAAGAAATTATGCAATTAGAAAAAAATTTTTTAGCCAAAAGTGATCTTACTTTAGTGAAATCAGTGACATTTTGAGATGCTGTATACTGCCAGGCATTGGCTTTTTAGAAAATGTTTTAATGTACAGAACATTTGGTAATGAGTTTATTTTCCAATTTTCCAGAGTTTGGCAGGAACGTCAATTTTGAGTCATCGTGAAATTACATTAAGTAAAGTTTTATGTACACCTTCAGTACACAAAAATGGTCTCTGTGAACTCATTTAGTGAAGGATTCGTCAAGCTGATTCAAACCATTAGTGTAAATGAATCATCGCTCTTAAAATCGACTAGACTGGTGTTGTGTTGGTTCTTGCGCGTGAGGACAGAACAACACAACTGAAGGATGCCCGCTGTTTTTGTTTTCTCTTCATCAAATTCAGACTGGAAAATTTAATTTGTATTGATCGGTATAATTGGAGAAAAATTAATTTTTACCATGGCAAACATTCAGTTTATCATTTAATCAACCTATTTCCCAGATTTATTTCATGTTATAAGATTTACTATCAAAATTAGATTGAGTTTGCGCTGGAAAATGTAGTTGTTTATAAAAAGTTTTTCCCATCCACAAAGTACCTCAGAAACACAAACTTTAAGGGTGCGTTCACACTTGTCATGTTTGGTTCGATTAAAACGAACCCTGGAGCGATTGCTCTGTTAGTGCGGTTTGTTAGAGTAAGTGTGAACGCTGCCATCCGAACCCTGGTGCGTTGAAAAGATGGTTCTCGTTCCGCTTCCAAACGAACTCTGGTGTGGTTCCAATGATATATGAATGCAACACAGATCAAATACTTCTAAACGAACCAAAAACAGGAAGTAATGATAAGATGCGACGCTATGCGACATGATTTTATGACGCGGTGTAACCAAAACAAAATAAGCAGATAAAATTATATGTACACGCAAGAATGTGCGCTTAGTCCAGCAGACGGCATTAGGTGTGTTTGACTAAAAGTCAAACACACTTTAAGTCTAACACACCTTTTGTTTGGGGTGTTCATAGGGCTGGACAATAATTCAATATCAATATGTATCGCGATATAATTTTTTTCAATAACGGTTCAATGAGTCCCATCACGATATATATGTCATTCAAGCCAACCGATCAGGTTGTGAACGTATCACTATGCCTTTAGGTTCACTGTCTTTAGGTTCGCTGTCAAAAATGCCAATGTGAACGCTAAGCGGACCACGACCAAATGTATCATTCCTAAGTTGCTGCTTATTAATAATTAATAAGGTAGTTGTTAAATTTAGGTGTTTGTGTTGGGCGATATGCTTAATTTTCATATGGGGCCAGTTGCCTAAACTGCTTAGACTGAAAAGTTAGTCTGGTAAGACTGATCAAGACTTGGCTAACTGCTAGTTGGTCAAACTAAAGACACAGTTTTAACATAGTGGCTATGTTTATGCAGCTCGACCCAGAATGGTTAGCCAGAATTGTTTTTTGGTGATTCCCATATTGCATCTAATTGCCTCATCACCTCCTGGGTTTACTAATGTTTTTGACGTGCTTTCCCTCTGGACTCGGAGAAAAACTGCTTCTGGCCCTTTAAGGAAACTGAGTTGATGGTGTTGGCTCAGACCCAAGTGGGGGAGGGCATGCGTTTACTGAGAGACAGCAGCTGATTGGCTGCTGCGACTCTTAATGTCACAGAGGGGAGTGGCTGAGTGGCATAAAATAACATGTCCTTAAATGGGCTCTGGTGGACTGCACCATTCTCCACAGCACTCGGAGGGGTGTTTGCTCTCAGCGAAAAGATTTATGTAGGCAACTTGTTACTTCATGTGGATGTAATATTGATAAAATATAGAAGGACGAGTTTGTTATTAGTGTACACTTTTTGGTTATTTGGTTAACTTTTTTTTTTTTTCCATTTTGATGGTCCAGTGGTTACTAAGATTTGTAGGTTTGGTATAGATCCTCATGCCTTAGTTAGTCCTGACCTGCATGTTGTAGCTGTGCCTCCTCTGTTCAGCGCAGTGGTTTGTTCCTCAGACAGACTGTAACCTCCCCTCCCTGAGTCAGGTTTATCTCAACTCCCAGGAAATACAGCAGCGAACAATGCTTATTATGTTCTGTGGTACTCCCCAAAATGGTGTAAGACGGTAACTCAGGGAGAAGAATTGTTGAATAAATTGTTATTGTTGTTTTCTTTGCGCACAAAAGTATTCTCGTAGCTTCGTAAAATTACGGTTGAACCACTGATGTCACATGGACTATTTAATCTGATGTCCTTGCTACGTTTCTGGACCTTGATCGTGGTAGTTACCTTGCTGTCTATGGGAGGGTCAGAGAGCTCTCAGAATTCAAAAATATCTTAATTTGTGTCCGAAGATGAACGAAGGTCTTACGGGTTTGGAACGACATGAGGGTGAGTAACTAATGACAGAATTTTCATTTTGGGGTGAACTAACCCTTTAAGATAAAAAAAAGTTTTTTTTAATCTATTTATTTTACTTGACTAAAAAGTCACAGTGTCACTCGCCTGCCTATTTTAAGATACATATTTACAGGCTAATTACCATCGACCCACCTGGTTTAGCGTCATAATTTCCCTCTAGAATTATACCAAGTCACGATGTAAAATTAAATGGTTTCATTTACAAACATTTGTTCCTGTCATTTCAGTGTGTGATTTTTCAAAATAAAAAGTTTGGTGTCACACTTTATTTTAAGGTCAAATTCTGGCTATTAACAAACCATTAACTACAGCTTTTGCCTCAAACTTCTAAGTTGCTGCTTATTAATAATTAATAAGGTAGTTGTTAAATTTAGGTGTTTGTGTTGGGCGATATGCTTAATTTTCATATTGCCTAAACTGCCTAAACTTGCCTAAACTGCTTAGACTGAAAAGTTAGTCTGGTAAGACTGATCAAGACTAGTGTAAGACTGATTAAGACTTGGCTAACTGCTAGTTGGTCAAACTAAAGACACAGTTTTAACATAGTGGCTATGTTTATGCAGCTCGACCCAGAATGGTTAGTCAGAATTGTTTTTTGGTGATTCCCATATTGCATCTAATTGCCTCATCACCTCCTGGGTTTACTAATGTTTTTGACGTGCTTTCCCTCTGGACTCGGAGAAAAACTGCTTCTGGCCCTTTAAGGAAACTGAGTTGATGGTGTTGGCTCAGACCCAAGTGGGGGAGGGCATGCGTTTACTGAGAGACAGCAGCTGATTGGCTGCTGCGACTCTTACCGTCACAGAGGGGAGTCCTTATAAGGGCGCTGGTGGACTGCACCATTCTCCACAGCACTCGGAGGGGTGTTTGCTCTCAGCGAAAAAGGACTTGTGTAGGTAACTTCACGTGGACATAATATTGATCAAATGTAGAAGGATGGGTTTGTTGTTAGTGTAGACTCTGTGAAACATTCAAGCATTTTGTTTAGTTGGGTATATGTGTTGTTTTTTTCACTTGATGGTCAAATGGTTGCTAGGATTTGTAGATTTGGTACCGATCATCATGCTTCAGTCCTCACCTGTATGTTGTAGCTGTGTCTCCTCTGTTCAGCGCAGTGGTTTGTTCCTCAGACTGACTGTAACCTCCCCTCCCTGAGTCAGATTTATCTCAACTCCCAGGAAATACAGCATCGACGACTGAAGTGGGAAAGCTGCCGATCAAGAAACCGTGCCTCGAAGTGGACGCTACTAAACGAGAGGGAGCCATTGCTGGGAAGAACCATCGAGTTGTCTGGAATCTTCTCTCTCAATCCTCTTGCAATGGTTCATTGGTTGAGGCCATGGCCTCTCAGTCAGGGTAAGCACCAGCACCAGCCATGTTCTCAGTGAGTAACTCCTGTAGTAGTCACGGCAAAGTTTTAGGCCTTCTCGCAACAATTTCCATACGGTTCTTCTTTTATGTCTTTTTGATTAGTTTTATTTCACAGACTTTAATGCCTAACTGAATCATGTCTTTTAAGTTGGTCTAGAAATGAGCAGTGCACTGTAGCAGCTTTGCCAAAGAATTAGAATATTCTAGACAGGCCGGACAGATCATAATCTGGATTATATTACTGTCTGATGCACCTTTGAATATGGAGTTACCCAAATGTTTTAGGTGAACATGCAAAAAAAGAAGCTTTTTGTGATAAAGCATGTGTAGAAATCAGTGGAACTCGTGTGAAAATGTAAGATTTCATGCTCTGACCAGATCAAAACGTAAAAGTAATTCTTGCCCACTCTCTAGAAACTGAATCATTCCAGTCAAAAGAGATATAAACTTCCCAGCAATACACGTTGACTGTCGTTATGATCACAAACCTACTGGAATAAACACCCTGGCCTAAGTTTTACATTTGCATCACAGGCTATAAAGCCCTGCAGACGGCAGGAGAGCCTCGCTAACAGGATCTTACACACTCAAATGTTGATCTAACTAGCTTTTGCCATTTCTTACAAGGTTAGGCCACCCAAAAATGTAAGTTAATTTACTCCAAACCTTTATTACTTTCTTCCGGGGAACACAAAAGGTGATGTTTTGAATCAATTTCATGCTGTTCCTCCATCACAGGTTAGTTTGCCATATATATATATGTATGTATGTGTATTCTGCTCATCAAGGCTACATTTATTTAATCAAAAATACAGAAAAAGTCATATTGTGAAATATTATTGCAATGTAAAACAGTGTTCTATTTTAATATACTTTAAAATATAATTAATTCTGTGAGTCAAAGCTGAATTTTCAGCATCATTGCTCCAGTCTTCAGAGCCACATGATCCTTCAGAAATCTTTCTAATATGCTGATTTATTATCAATGTTGCCGTTTAATATTTTTTGGAACCTGTGATACTTTTTTCAGGATATTTTGATGAATAAAAAGTTAAAAAGAACAGTATTTATTTAAAATAGAATATATTTTGTAACAATATACACTACCGTTCAGAAGTTTGGCATCGTAAATTATTGTTCTTTCTTTTTTTGAAAGAAATTAATACTTTTATTCAGCTAGGAGGATGTGTTAAGTTGATAAAAGGTGATCGCAAAGGCTTAGATTGTTAGAAAAGATTTATGTTTTGAATAAATGCTGTTCTTTTTAAATTTTTCGTATTGGTCATTCTTAGGGCTGCACGATTAATCGAATGCGATTGTCATGCGCATTTTGTTAAAAAAGCCGGTTCTGTAATCAGCAGGCAATCATCATCACATGCTTTCAGATGGAGCAGCATTTACTACACATAGCCGTAGTTCACTGACAAGTTAACTACGATTCTGCGATTCTGAAATCAAGAAATCGTTGGCGATAATGACAGCTGTTTGCACAGCTTCTGAGTGAACTACGGCTCTGTGAAGTAAATGCTGCTCCATCTGAAAGCATGTGAAAATACCACATTTAATACAATTTTTACTCCAAACTCACTTCATAACGTCAGTTGAGTGTCACTTCATAACGTCAGTCGAGTGTTTGAAATAAATCCCTCTGTGAGATGATGTGGCTTCTTACACAGAATAAGGCACACAACATATTTCACAGTATTTAAGCAGTGATAAAGGCATTGCGTTATAAATATACTTTATTTTAATGAAAATTATATTAATAACTCAGATAAACCGTGTATTGCCGTAGTCGTGTGTTTATTAGTCACGCTGAATCAATGAAAGCAGCTGAATCTTCTGTTTATTCAGCTGCAGAGATGGGCATTTTCTGGGTTTCTTCTGCGAGGCGTATTTGGAGTTTCTCTGGCCTTCGGATGGAGATTTACTGCTGATCACAGAACCGTGCTTCACTGAAAGATACGCACGACAATCGCAGCTTCTGTCGAATCGAGATCTCGATTCCATTTTGATTTATCGTGCAGCCCTAGTCATTCTGTGTTTTAGTAAAACAAAACTAACAATAATATGGATAAGTTAATACTACTGCTAACAACATAAAACACGCTAAGCTCTAATGAGCTGCTTGGGTTAATGAATATTAATCACACTGTCTGCATTCGCCCAAACTGATTTGCTGAAATCTAAATGTAGTCGATGAATAGGTGAGCCAGTGAGATTGTTCTGCCCACTACTGAAGCAACCTCCTTCTGCTTGTTCTCAACTGTGAAATCTAACAATGTATTAGCCAGTGGCTAATGATAGACATTATTTAGTCGCATATTGTGGAAGTTTAGTTGCATATGTGAGTGATTTTACTCGCATTGTAGATGTTCCAGGTTTGGAATCAGTGTTGCGGAGCGTAGTTTGATTATTGCGTGTCGTATGAGAGATTGTTCAGATTTAGAAAATGATGAACGTCAAGCCCAAAATATACTTCTATTGTCTGCATGCTACAGAACCGTGCTTCACTGAAAGATACGCACGACAATCGCAGCTTCTGTCGAATCGAGATCTCGATTCCATTTTGATTTATCGTGCAGCCCTAGTCATTCTGTGTTTTAGTAAAACAAAACTAACAATAATATGGATAAGTTAATACTACTGCTAACAACATAAAACATGCTAAGCTCTAATGAGCTGCTTGGGTTAATGAATATTAATCACACTGTCTGCATTCGCCCAAACTGATTTGCTGAAATCTAAATGTAGTCGATGAATAGGTGAGCCAGTGAGATTGTTCTGCCCACTACTGAAGCAACCTCCTTCTGCTTGTTCTCAACTGTGAAATCTAACAATGTATTAGCCAGTGGCTAATGATAGACATTATTTAGTCGCATATTGTGGAAGTTTAGTTGCATATGTGAGTGATTTTACTCGCATTGTAGATGTTCCAGGTTTGGAATCAGTGTTGCGGAGCGTAGTTTGATTATTGCGTGTCGTATGAGAGATTGTTCAGATTTAGAAAATGATGAACGTCAAGCCCAAAATATACTTCTATTGTCTGCATGCTATGTGACTGTTTTCATCATCAGCACAGTCCACTCGTGAGCATACACACCCTGATTATTTTATTTTTAAAATAAATTATTAATATTTATTTTACAGCTGCATATATTCAAGTTGCTTAATGCTCAAATAAAAACTGAACAGGTCCACCTAGTAGCATGCATACATTAAATCTGTCCATCCACACTCATAATGGATGAAGTATGTAGGGCCCAATAGTGGAATCCAGTCATAAAAATGCAGTTTCATGTATAACGTGGAATGTTACAAAAAAGGCACACTTTTTTTTAAATTAAAATTTGAAGTCTGTGCATCTCTGTGTTGTTGTTTTTTTATAAACACATACTTTTCTAGTTGTAGTTAGAAAATAAAGTCATCATTTACCCTCTTCTGTGGAACATGGTGACTGAACAGTTGCTGGAAGCCATTGAATTCCATAGTATTTTTCCGTACTGTGGGAGTCAATGGCTACCATCAGCGTTCTTCAACAATTCTTGTGTGCTCAACAGAAGGAAGAAAAACACAAGGGTGAGTAAATCATGACGGAATGTTCATTTTGTGTGAACTCTTCATTTAAGTTGTGCAAGTTCCATGATTTCAGTTAATTGGGCATTTAATTGACTATTAAAATAGAATCCAGAACGTTTAAACCGAGACTGGAACTTGGCTAAAAATAAAACTGAATTTGGAAAGAAAGTTCCCTATGTTCACTTTGAAAGCCTTGCACACTAAACTGCACATAACAATTTAGCTCACTATAAAATCAGTGTTATTTTTTCCAAATTCAGTTTTATTTTTACTCAAATTCCGTATCTTCTGTTTTCATTTTTCTGAATTCCATTTTAAGGTTAAATTAAAAAAATGCATGTCTGATTAATTGAAATCCTGAAGCTTAGTAACACATCAGAGGTAAAGCTATAAAGCTTAAAACAATAAGAAGATGAGTACATTATGACGGAGTGAGGTCCTTTAGTTTTCTCTCAGCTGCTGGCACTGTTAATAAGCAGTGTGTAGAGAAATGTTGATTCATTTCATTAATGCTTTTCCAGAGATGGTTTGACTAATTGGATTTTGTTGCAGTGTCTGTGTCAAACGACTACACGTGGCATCGGTCATTTGAGTGGTTTTGTCGTGCAAACGCTCTCCCATTAGCACGTTCATTGAGCTTTCTCGACACGGCTATCAACTTAACAAAATAAACCTTGGCAGGATCTAATGCATCAAAAGTGACTCCCCTTAAAAACACCCTGAGAATCACTAACTTCCCCCTCGACGTGACGCTGCGCATCTCCAAACCTCAGCGCTGCTGATCTAATCGTGAAAGAGAAGAGAGAGATTTAATTAATTGCCCGGTAATAACACTTTTTTTTTTTTAGCTCTTACACGGTTTAATTAGCAATTTGTTTACAGATAATGTTTTAATGCAGTTTGATTGAAGTGTCATTTAATTTACCCATAACTTTCTTTCTTTCGTTTTCTTTGTCTTTCTTTCTTTCTGTCTGTCTGTCTTTTGTCTTTCTGTCT